CAAGTGCAACGTCGTGAGTTCGGTTCCCGGTACCGGAGAAAAACCAAAAAAATAAAAAAAAATAAAAAAAAAAATTCCTTTAGAGTAATTTTATGCTAATCAATAACAGTATTTCAAATAGAATATTTGGAATTGTTTTTGGAAGTGGTGGTCATTCCACTGTGAATTAATATTTTTATTTTTAAGAGAATTATGTGGTAATATTTAATTAGAATTACTATTCTTTGAAAAATGGAATCTTAAGAATATTAGCTAGTATTATAATGTTGAATTTTTTAAACTAAACCAATGTTTACAAAATACCTAAGTAAATAATATGGATATTTTTAACATAGTATATCACAAAGCTAATTTTTGTTTTATTCTATCAAATGGTAAGGTAGAAATTTGTAGTCCCCAAAGTGTAAAATGCCATGTCACATTCACGGACCCAGATTGTTTACTGCACCTTAGGGCAATCTGTATCTGGCTCAAAGATTTAGATGCTGGAAAATGGCTTTAAATTAAGCTTGAAACTCTAAGGAGTAGAATTTAACTATAATATGACTCTAAAAGGAATTGAGCCACTCAGCTAAAGTTCTTTCTGGATATGGATATTGAAATTTAAATTTTAATTTCCCCATTCACAAAATTTTATTTTCTTTTAATTTATTATAAACCATTTTAACCTAAAAATATTCTTCTTAGCTTATAGGACATACGAAGAGATTTGATCCACAGGCTGTGGTCTTCTCGCCCCATTGTATAAGAAAGTGCTAATTGTGAAGTCATGGATGATAAAAATAAAAGTATATTTTTACAAGTAAAAAAACTCATAGGTGATGAGGTTTTGCTCATTTCCTTTCCAAAAGGAGAGCACATAATGCCATAGCCAATAAACTCTTTACAGGGAAGTGAGTTTTTAAGACTTTCCAATAATAGACCACCTAGGAAGGAGAAGACTTGTCAGCAATGACTTTTTGGTTCATTTGTTTTATGAGCCTGGAATTTTTTCTGCTGAATTTTTTTCAGAAGGGGACACACTTGAATTTATTATTCATTATTTTGATTCCTATTAAATTTAGAAAAGCACAGAGTGATCTGTGATTTGGTTCAATACCAAAGGACTTAATAGCTCATCTGAGTCATTTAGTGCAAAAAAGAAAAGGTAATCCACTAAAATGGTTTTTGTTTAATGAGTTATCTAGACTCCTAAAATTGAAGAAGCCTTTTTATTAATGCATATTAATTGCAGAAAAGAGTGGGTTTCATTGTGACATTTTCATATATGTACATAGTATTCTTTGATCGTATCCTTTCCCCCGCTTACCTATTGCCTCTCTGATCCCTTTCTTCATCGCTAATAGTGAAGACAGTTTATTTTTATCCCTGTTTCCATTCTCATACACCTTCCAAATACCAGGTATTATACTAGGCACTGGGCACACAAAAACTAATAAATCAGTTCCACCCTCAGAGAACTCATCTAGTTTGGGATTCTAGCTTGTGAAAAAGTGTAGCAAGATCAATGAGATTAGAATATGTATAAGGTGGGGATTGTCATACTTGACTGCATTCTTGGATCACATGGGAAACTGAAAAATTCTATTGCCTCCCCAATGACCACCACCCTAAGATTCTGATTTATTTGGTCTTGGGTATGACCAAGGCATCTAGTATTTTTTTTAACAGCTTCCCAAAGTGATTCTAATGTGCAAAGTTGAAAACCTCTGATATAAGGGTGATGGGGCACAGGAGAGAGAACTTGGCACCAGCAAGGGAAGAGCCAAGATAATACTTGATAAGTAGTAACAAACAAGGAGGATGGAAAAAATAGGTTCTCTGGGCTGTGACAACACACAGAAGCAGGAACCAGTATGTCCCTTTCAACAGACTTTGCAGTACTTGTTATGGATAGGATGTTCAGCATGCACAGAGGAGTGTCTTGCAGGAGTGAACAGAGACAAAAGAGGAAGAAGCAATAATAGGAGGGGAAGCAGAAAAGGCAGATGTTTATGCCTTGCTTAGTCCTGTCTTGTTCTTACATAGAATTACGTGTCACTGAAAAGTTCTGAGAAAGGCAACAACACAATTGTATTTGTAGTTTACAAGCATGACTCTTGATTAGTGTGGCTGGCGAGTTGGACCTACGGTCTTATACCTCTAGGCAGAAAACCCAGTTACAGAGTTATTGCCAAGTCCAAGTGAGGAATGATGGGGATATCAATACAGGTTAATGGCAGTGAGCTGGGACAGGAAATGACAGATTTATAAGATTTTAAGGAGGTGGAATTGGGAGGATGTGGTAACTGTAGGTGATTAGGACAACTCTCTCAGAAAGATGGCTTGGCCAGGTTTTTTGTGGGAGAGAGGTGGAAAATACATGAATTCCTTTTGACTCATTTTCATTTGAAATAATGAGACTATAGAGTTCTCAAATAAACCATTGTAGATGCAGCTGCAAGACTTAGAAAAGAGGGCTACCCTGGAAATACTAATTCAGGAATCATCAGACTATAGGTCTGTCAAGCCTGGCAAGAAGTTGAGATTGATGAAGTAAGAAATGCAGAATCCTATGGAACACATTTAAGTATGTGCACAGGAAAAGAGTCATCAGTTTGGCTATAATTAAGGGGTTAGAATGGCAGGAAAAGAACCCAGAGGAAATAGTTGTGGAAACAAATGAGTGATATGTCAAGAAAAGACCAATCAAAAATATCAGATGTTTCATAATAGTCAAAGAACGTGAAGATGAAAACATATTCATGGGCTGATGGAGAGAAACACCACTGAGATGTTGTTGTGTAACTCTTACTGCAATTGGTTTCAAACTGAATTTTTAACTTCCTGTCAAAAAGTGTGGAATAAATAGATGCTGGAAACCTTTTTGCTACTCCTATCAGATGGAAATGGGATAAAATTTTTTAACTTTAGAGGTATTTCACATGGATAACCAAACTCAAAAGGAAGACAGAATTCACTAGATACTATAAATGAAAGAGGAATTAAAAGCAATAGAAACAAGCAAATGTTGAGGGTATCAGACCATATCCAGAGGTCAAATAGGAACTGGCATTTTTAACATCTGTAAGACAGGCATTCGAGAGATCATTTTGCAGAAGTTATATAATGGACTGTAAAACTCTAGATTCTCTACTCGTTTAATGAATGTCTTTGAATGGGTGAGAAGAGTTTTGGTAGAGAGGAATATTAGATGAGAGGAAAAGAATCATTTGTTCATTTATTCATTCTTTTGAACATTGACAGGGAATTAGGGAAATATTGGAGAAATACTAAAAGTTCAGGAAAACAATGCAATAACTGGAGATTACTGGAAATGAATAAGGATGAAACAGATGTGAATGAAGGTGGGAGGTTGGAGGTGAGAGATGGATTATGTAAAACTCTGTAATAGGTCCTCTCTGTTCTCTGTCATTGAGCACCAATGTGGAGGATGAGCAGTGAGGAGATACTGAAATAACACATTTATTTAAAAAAAAAAAAATAGCCACTAAGGGAAATGGGGAGGGGAAGCTGAAGGAAACACATAAAAAGAATGCCAACAAATACTGAGTGTCCACCTGCAAAGAGATAGCAGACATCTGAGCGGATGCCTTTCTGTAAGATTGCACCCCGAAACACGAGTACGATATTGTAAAAGTTACATTGTTGGATTAATCCATAAATACTACAGAAAAGATGGAAGGAAATAACAAGCGAGAAGGGGATGGAAAATACCAGTGAGACTAATTTGAGAGAATGGAAGGGAGACCTTTCGATAGTTAAATTTTTATTTTGGGGGGTGTATAATTACAGTTAGGAAACATTTACTTTTAGTGACTTAGAAGAATCCTAGAAATATCCATGGTTCCTTTATTTATTTTAGCTTATTTTAAGAGAATCAGGGCAGTATTGTTCCTTATGCTATGAAACTGTATTACATGTAGTTGAGCTGTCCTGAGTCAAAGTATGTAGGCTTCAAGTTCTCTTCTCTATAAACATGAAATTGTCTATAGGGTCAAGCAGTTTTTATTATATCTATATATGTGTGTGTGTGTGTGTGTGTGTGTGTGTGTGTGTGTGTGTGTGTGTGTGTATTTATTTAAAAATTCCCACTGCATCTTACTGTGACCCTCATACCAAAAGATACTCTAGGCTGTGCCTGCGATAGCAGAAACCCCCTGGAGCCTTGGTTGTCTTCATCTAATTAGCATTCCCTTCATAAATAAATGTCATTTATGTCACTTGTATTGCTGATAAGGATTTTTTAGACCATCAAAATCAGTTATACTGATGGAAATGTTGAAGAGAAAGAGATTTTTTTGATGAAATTGAAATGGAACATGGAACATGAATTTACACGTACATTCAGATAAGAGCAGTGTAAATAGTGAACCCATGGGCCCTATTAAGGGACTTGAAGCCTGTCAGCTCTAGATGACTAGCCAGAACTCACTGGAGAGAGCCATAATCAAAGGCTTTTTCTGCCTGACATTTGTGGCAGAGGATTTCTTTATGCTGGTAGATTTGTTTTGAATAGAGAGATATCTGTAGTTCAGAAAATAGCTGCAGGTAGAACTAATTGATAATTTAAACCAAGAAGACAGAGAACAACCTTCTGCACCACTTCTGTTACCTTGCAGGTACCATTTATGTTGTCATTTAACAGAATTTTAAAATGATTACCTGACTTGATATTTATTGAACATTTTTTTTGAAAGGCCTCCCCAAACCAGCCATATATTTTTATTTATTTTAACGGCTTAACCAATGTAAGAGAGATTAATTAGTATTAGCAGCTTTCATGATTACTCAACAACTAGGCAACTGAGAATGAAATCTAGAAATACTGTTCCCCAGTAATGTGACTTATTCATGGATGTCACCACTTTCAAGCCAGATAATGGATTATGTTAATAAAGGAGATGGAGGTGGTATCTTTTTCCTGAAGAGACGGTAGGTAAAAAATGCTAACTGAAAACCAGGCATTATGCTAAGTCTTTCCTGTTGACTGTTTTCAGGGGCATTGTGCAGTCAGAAGAAAAACTTGTCATCAGTGCATCTTGGGCAAAAGATGACGATATCAGCAGACTCTTGAAATCATTACCTAACTGGATTAATATGGCTCAGCCCAAACAGCTAAGGCCTAAGAGAGAAGAAGAAGAAGATTTCATAAGGTAAAGGTCTATTTCTACATTGTACTAAACATATGGAGGAAATGCACATGTATTTAACTACTCCTTTTTTTACATGAAAGTTTGGCCGGTTCTAAAGATCAAGCTCTCTTACACGAACTTAGTAAAATCTGTTTTCATCCTGTCTCACCTCATTTCCCATGCAAGTATGCATTGAGCTCAGAACTTTACAAGGAAGGAATTGGAGTGAATTAAATTTGGAGCATTGCCACATCAAGTTAAAATATCATTTAATTTATAGGCCATTCTTCCCCACAGGGGAGAATACAATTCATTTGTTCACTCATTTTCTCAGCAAAGTTTTATTGACCCTGCACCCTACAAACACGATACCAAGAGAAGCTTGTTCATATAGAGTGTGTTACCATTGTTCTTAACGTACTCCTTTCATCAGACTATTGTTAGTTGAGGTTTCTCAAATGTGCTTTCCATGTTTGTTCACGCAGGTTATATTGTCTCTGATGGTTTTCTACTTGTTTTGACAAAAGGACTCTGTCCTTTCAACTTTTTAACTAAAATTTAACTTTGTATAATTTAAATTATTTACTTAGCCACTGAAATTGATGAAGCTTTCTATTTCCATGTGGCTGGCTTGGACTAGTGGAACGTTTTCACCTCTATTGTCTTAGAACTGCAAAAAGTAGAAAAATGATGGTAGCAATACATCGTCACATCAAAATTAGCTTCGTTCTTGTTAACTTTTGCTTATCTGAATGAATGAAAAATGGTTAAAAATAAAATGAAAACACTTGAAAGAAGCAATGGCCAGAAATTTAAATTTTAAATTTTATATTTTCATTATAAAAGAAATAATGGCCAATATTTTACTTTACTTTGGATTTGTCTCTCTCACAGTGTGGATAGCAATAGTAAATAAATAAATCTGCAACCAATCCAAAGTCCCTTTTCATCTGAAACTGTACCACTACATAGATAAGTACACTATAATGTTATAATATTGTTGTCATTCACTTCATTCACCCATAATCTATAATCAATAGATAAAATACTGCTATTACTTTCAACAACTATAAGTTAAGAATAAAAATGTTTTATTTTTACTTTTGTTTATTCCCTCTCTAATGCAAATTGTTTATTACCATAGATTCAAGTTTTTGACCTGTTCATTTTCCTTCTCTTTGAAGAGTTGCCCATAACGTTTCTTGCAAGGCAGGTGTACTGATAACAAATCCTCCTTAATTTTTGTTTGTCTTCATTTTTCCTGCACACTTGAAGGGTAATTTCCCTGGGCACAGAAATGTAGGTTGGTCTATTTGTCATTGTTCTCCAAAGAAACAGAAGCAGTGAAATAGATGATGGATGGATGGATGGATGGGTGGGTGGGTGGGTGGGTGAGTGGGTAGATGGATGGGGGACTGATTACGGGATTAGTTTAAAGATTGTGGTGGCGAAGACGTCCCATTATCTGCTGTCTGCAGGCTAGAAAACCAAAAAAGCCAGTGCTGCAGTTCATTTCATGTCCAAAGGCCTAAGAACCAGGGGTGGGGAGAGGACTTCGGGATAAGTCCCAGAGTCTGAAGTCCTGAGAACAAGGTGCCCTGATATCTAAGGACAGAACATGGATGCCTTAGTTTAAGAAGAAAAAAAGTGAATTTTCCCTATTTTGTTCTATTCAGTGGATTGAACGATGCCTAGCCACATTGGTGTGGGTAGATATTCTTTACTTAACCTACTAAATAAAATACTAATCTCTGTAAGAACTCCCTCACGTACAAATCACGAGTAAGATTTTGTTAACTGTCTGGGCATCTCTTAGCCCAGTCAAGTTAACACATAAAGTTAATCACAATTGGTGATTGTTTTTTAACATTTTAAATATCCCTCTATTCTCTCTTTGCTTACATGGTTTCTAGAGACAAGTCTGACATAATTATTATCTTTGTTGTTCTATAGGTATTTTTTTTTGGCTTTTTTAAAGATGTTTTTGTCTTTGATTTTATGTATGAATATGATATACCTCATGGTAAAACTTTTGCTACTGATGCTACTTGGTATTCTCTGAGTTTCATGAATCTGGTGTAATATTTTTCACTGGTTTGAGGAAATTCTTAGTCATTATTTTTGAAGCGACGATGTTTCAGGTATTCTCTTTTGTTTCCACTTTTTCACCTTCTGGTATTTCCATTCTGCATATATTGTAATTTCATTAATTACCTCACAGTTCTTAAATATTCTGTTTTGTCTTTTCGTTCTTTTTTTCTCTCTTCATATGTTGTTATGGCTTGTGTCTGGATGTCCCCCCAAAGCCTCATGCAGTCATGGGGTGGGCTTCTAGAGTTTGTGATTGATTCATGGTCCAATGCTGGGATTAAGGGTGTGAGTGCTACACCTGCCCTGGGGCAGGTAGTTTGCATACAGTGTAAGGGAAGGAAAGAGGCCCTTTGCTGCCTTTTGCTCTTGCTGCCTTTGCTGCTTTCCGTCACCAGGAACTGTTGCCTTGTGCCTGTGCCTTGTAGCCAGCTGACTATGAACTGAAACCCCCACAAACTGTGAGCTAAATAAACCTTTCCTTTCTTAACCTTAGGCATCAGGTATTTTGTTCCAGCAAGGAGAGAAAAGTAACCAGACATATGTCAGTTTTGGAACATTCTAATTTTACATTTCTTTTAGATTACAGTTTTTTCCTTAGCCATATGTAGTTTGTTGCTGAGACCATCAAAGACATGCTTCATTTCCACTAGAGTATTTTTTATTTCTAAAATTTCCTCTGGATTCCTAGAATTTTTCTCTTTTCTTACATTACCTATGCTTTTCTTTTATTTACTACATATTTATTAAATATGTGGTTTTAATGAGACATGTATAGAAATGTGCACATATCAAAGGCTCAGCATGAATTTTCTGTTTTCATTTGTGTAATCTATACCCAAATTAAGAATCAGAGAACACAAACAATAAGAAATGCAAGAAAGCAACAAGTTCCCAAGTCTTTTTGTACTTCCTTTTAATTACTACCTGCCTCTCCAAGATATACTACAGACACTAGTTTAATCTGTTTTTGGACTTCATAGCATTATGCAATCATGTGCTCTTTTATGACTGACTTTTATATTCCAAATTACATTGACAAGATTAATCTGTCTTGTATATAGATATGTTCTTATTATTGTGAGTATTCTATTGTGTATATGCACTACAAAATTTTTAAAATGTTTTATTATGTATGTATCTATATGTTGACATGTATAGATATTAGTATGTGTGTGTATGTACACACAAATGTGTATACATACATTTACTCATTCTGCTACAGATGGGCATCAAGATAACTTTCAGTTTGGAACAATTTTAAATAGTACAACTATGAATATTCTACTGTAATTTTTTTTTAGTAACCATGTGTATGCATTCTGTTGGGTTTATGCTACACATAGAATTGCTGGGTAATACTATGTAAATGTTGAGTTACAGTTCACATTGTCAGTTTTCCAAAGTGGCTACAAGAGTTTACACTTTTTCAGTGGTACATGAGAGTTTCAGTTGCTCCACATCTCAGCAACACTTGATATTTTCCATCTTTTAGATTGTAGCCATTCTCGTAGGGGTACTTTATTGTCATTAATATGTATTTCTCTCATGAATGATGAAGTTAAGCAACTTTTGACCATTTGGGCATCCTCTTTCATAGCATGTTTTGTCTATTTTTAATTGTATAGTCTTTTTCCCTGGTGACTTTTAAATTCTTTATATATCAGTTTGAAATTCCATTGTTATAGATACATTAGTCTTTTATAAATTTCCTTTTTACTCTCTTGATGGTGGTTTTTACTAGATAAGACTTTTAAAGGTTTGATAATTCCAATTTATTATTTATTTTATGTTAATGCATTTTGTATCCTGTTGAAGAAATAGAAAAGTCACAGAGCTTATGAAAAAAATCACAGAGGTTTTCTTCCAAAACTTTTTCCTGAATGTATATCCCCCAGCATCTGAAATAAATTGTTGATCTTAAATTTTTATTTCCTTTCCTGTATTCCATACTTTCCTTTATGTAGATTATTATCATGGATTTGATTTAATAGCAAAATATTGAAGATTTTTTTTCAAGAGAGGTAAAAAATTATTGAGACATGATTGATTGATTGGAATCCCATGTAGAAATTATCAAACTGACCTCAAGACAGAAATTCAGGCCACAAGACTCTGCTGTTTCACAGAATTACTGTTATTATTTTGCCAGATTTTTAAGAGGTCTGCATAAGCGTATCCCCCACTTTCTCTCTAAATGTACTCATTTAAAAATATTTATTAACTTAAGAGTTGTGCTAGAAGTACTTTCTAGAAGATAACTTATTCGAACTTGGGAAATAATTATTCTTTTGATTTAAAAGAGCTAGAATTAAGGTTATGGCTTTTTTTTACTCTTGATTTGCTCACTGAATTGTATCATTTTCTATTTTAAGCTTGAAGGAAAAATAAATTATACAATTGTTATTTTTGGTGCAACTTACATGAAGTAAAGTGTAATTGTAAACATGTTACTCAATTAAATATATATGATTATACCCATATAACTACCTCCCATATCAAAATAGAATTTTTTGAAAGGCCTTCACTCAAATCACCCACTTGTCTGATTTCTATAATCATAACTTAGTTATGCTTATCTTCTGATTTTATATGTTTATTCATAGTGTCTTGGTTTCTTTTACTGAACATTACGCCCAAGACATTTGTCAGTTTTATTATTTTGCATGTATACATGGTTTGAAAAGCAAATTAGTTTGTTTTAAGAGAAGAGAAATGATTTTAAGTCTGTTTTATTTTGTACATGATTCTTTTCTCTTAACCTGTTACATCCTCTATCCAGATTAGAAGTTAAAACAATTGTGTAAGAGAAAATGCTATTTAATTTATATTCCAACATGGTAGAGTTAACAGAGAGCCTTGATTTAGCCCGTTAAAGCACCATAAAACAAAAAATCCAAAAGACTGAAAAGTCACACTTTCCTCCTATAATT